TCCACACGCGCACGCACGCACGCACGCACACACACACGCACGCACGCACACATACAGATATAAACATTAGACATAAATATAACTTTCTATTCTGTTCTATAATATTCTTTTACGTGCATATATATATATATTTAGACATTAGACATAAATACTGTTTTCTACCCTGATGTATCACGCTCTCTTACATTATACTTCGACACGTGAGCTAATAACATATATGACAACGGACGTCGCCACGCTGTCGTCGGCAACTCGTAGATAAGACTAGTGAATTCACACCCCTTCCCGCCGCCAGGGGGAGCGGTATAGGTAGCGGATATTCGGTCACACCTGCCAGCGGCCGCGGTGCGTGCGGGGGTGAATGTTGTATGTGGAGGGAGAGGGGGAGAAGGCGGCGCCGCCACGGTTCCTCACGCGTGCGTAGTAGATAACGACGCCGGCGACGACGAGGGTGCCGACGGCGATGATGGCGATGACGCATCCGACAACTATCATCACCGTGGAGCGTCTCTCTACACAAACACAAACACAGTCACAACAACAACAACAACAACAACAACAACAACAACAACAACAACAAACACAACAACAACAACAACAACAACAACAACAACAACAACAACAAACACACACACAGTCACAACAACAACAACAACAACAACAACAACAACAACAACAACAACAACAACAAACACACACACAGTCACAACAACAACAAACACAACAACAACAAACACACACACAGTCACAACAACAACAACAACAAACACACACACAGTCACAACAACAACAAACACAACAAACACACACACAGTCACAACACTCTCACTGCATGAAGCATGCTCTGTCGGTGTGACGGGGGGGGGGCGCCGCGTGGAATATAACATATCATGACTATAATAAATATACATAACATAACATATAGAATATAATATATATGTATTATGCACATATATATGTATATATATGTAAATATATACATATATTAATTATACATATATATCCAAGAACATAATGCTACATTATAATATAGGTCTGACTACAGCGTCTCTACGCGTGTACTCGTGGTAGAGGAGTCATGAACAGGTAGAGAGGTTAAGAAAATATGTGATGTGTGTGGCTCTGTGTGTGTGTTGTGTGCGTGTTGCTTTGGTTGTGGATGTGTGTGTGTGGAAGTGTGTGCGTGTGCGTTGTGGTGTGCGTGGTGCGACGCGTGGTGCGTGTGCGTGTGCGATTGAGTGTGCCTGTTGTGCGTGTGCGTGTGGTGCGCCCGTGTGCCGTGTGGTGTGCGTGTGCGTGACCGGCGAGTGTGCGGCTGTGCGTCGGTGTCCTCTTTCACGTGTGCATGGATGTCGTGTGATGTGTGTGCGTGTTGAACGGGCGTCGTGTGTGTGGTGTGTGTGCGTGTGCGTGCTGTGTGATGTGTGTGTTGTGTGTGCTGTGTGCGTGTGTGCGTCGCGTGCGTGCGTCGCTGCGTGCGTGTGTGTGTGTATGTGTGTGTGCGTGTGGTGCCGTGCGTGCGGCGTGCGGCGTGTGTCGTGAGTGTGGCGGTACTCGTGTGCGCGTGTGGTGTTTTGTGTGTGCGTCTGTGTGTGTGCGTGCGTGGTGGCGTGCGTGTCTGCTTAGTCCGGCGTGTGTGTGTGCTGTGTGGCGTGGTGTGTAGTTGTGTGGTCGGCGTGCGTAGCGTGCGTGCGTGTCGTGTGCGGTGGTGTGTGTGCTGTGCGTATGTGTTGTGTGTGTGTGTTGCGTGTGTGTGTGTGTGTGTGCGTGTGTGTGGGTCCGCGTGCGTGGCGTGCGTGCGCTGGTGGCTCGTGTGCGTGTGTGTGTGTCGCGTGTGCTGCGTGGACGTGTTTCGTGCCGTGTGTGTGTGGTGCGTTGTGCGTGCGTGCGTGCGTGTGCTGTGTTGCCGATGTGGCTGTGTCTGGTGTGTGTGTGTGCGTGCGTGCGCGCGTGCGTGCGAGCGTGGTGCGTGCGTGCGTGCGTGCGTGGGCGTGATATGTTCTCGCGTGTGTGTGTGCCGTGCAGTGCGGCGTGCGTGCGTGCGTGTGTGCAGTGTGGCTGTGTGTGTGTGCGTGCGTTGCGTGCGTGCGTTCCGCGACGTGCGTGCGTGCGTGCTCGTGGTGGGTGTGTGTCGCTGCGTGCGGTGCGTGGCCGTGCGTGCGTTGCTGTGCGTGCTATTTCGTGCGTTAGAGACATGACAGGTAAGGAGGTTAAGAAAACAGTGTGTGTGTGTGTGTGTATGTGAGCTGTGTTTGTGGTGTGTGTGTGTGTGTGTGCGGTGGTGTGTGTGTGCGTGTGTGTGTGTCGTCGCGCGCGTGCGTGCCGCTGCTTGTGCGTGCCTATTCGTGCGTTCGAGAGTCCCGATAACAGAGTAAGGAGGTTAGATAACATGTTGTGTGCTGTGCGTGCTGTGTGCTGTGTGTGTGTGTTGTGTGACCTGTGTGGTGTCGTGTGTGTGTGTGTGTGCGTGCGGTGCAGTGCGTGCGTGCGTGCGTGCGTGCGTGCTATTCGTGGTTAGAGAGATGAACAGGTAGAGAGGTTAGAACATGTGTGTGCGTGTGCGTACGTTGTGTGTGTGTGTGTGTGTCGGAGTGTGTGTGTCTTGTGCGGTGGTGTGTGTGTGTGCGTGCGTGTGTGGTGTGTGGTGTGTGTGTTTGTGTGTGGCTCACTGTGTGTTTGTGTTTGCTGTGTGTGTGTGTGTGTGTGCGCTGTGTGTGGTGTGAGTGCAGCTGCGTCTACTTCGTGGTAGAGAGATGAACAGGTAGGAGGTATTAGAGAACATGTCGTGTGCGTTGTGCGTGGTGTGGTGTGTGTGTGTGCGTGTCGTGTGTGTGCGTGAGTCGTGTGTGTGTTGCGCTTGTGTTTGTGTGTGTGTGGGCTGTCTTGCGTGCGTGCGTGCGTGCGTGTGCGCCCTGGTGCGTGTGTCTGTGTCGTGTGTGTGCTGTTGCGTGGAAACGTGCTGCGTGCGTGCGTGCGTGCGTTGCGACCGGACACTGTAGATGTGATGTGCGGTGTGTGTGTGTGGTGTGTACTCGTTGCCGTGTGTGTGTGTGTGCTACTGTTATGTTCTGTGCTGCTGTGTATGTGTGCGTGGTGTGTGTGTGGATGGCGTGTGTGCGTGTCCGCGTGGCGGGGTGACTCGTGACCGGGTTGTGTGATGTGTACTGTACGTGTGTAGACGCCGAGAGGACTGCGTAGGGCCCCCGGGGGCGCGAGGTGTGTGGGTGTTGCCGTGTGTGTGTGTGTGGGGGTCGTGCGTGTGTGGTCCGGCGACCGATCGTGTGTGCGTGTGTGTGTGTGTGTACGTGGTGTGTGTGGCTGTGTGTGTGTGTGTGGCTCAAGGGCCTGATGTGTGTGCGTGTGTGTGCGTGTGCCGGGCCCGTCTGCGCTGTGGGTGTGTGTGTATTGTGGATATATTGTATGTGTGCAATGGCTGGGGGGTTTTTTTTGTGTGTGTGTGCGTGTGTGTGTGCGTGCGTGCGTGCGTGCGTGCGTGCGTGCGTCCGTGTGTGTATGAGGTAGATGTTGTGTTGTTATAATGATGACTCACTCACCTAGCTTCCTGCAGTCACTACCAACCTTCCCCGTAGATACGTCATCATAACCCTCATCACAGGTACAGCTGTACGAACCGACTGTGTTCACACACACAGCCATCTCGTGGCACCGATTAAAGATCTCATTCTCACACTCGTCGATATCTATAATCGATAATCAATCACTATAGTCGATAATGTTACAGTATTAAATTCGCGCGTAAATTTCTTGGGAAATATATTGTGCGCTAGACGGTCTGTTTACCTGCTGGATTAATCGTTACATTGATCGATAAATAGATTTATCGTTGGATGAAATTATCGATTGATCAATCAATGGATCAATTGATTAATTGATTGTTTGATCGATTCGTTGCTTTCTTGTTTTTAATGAAACATAGCGCGACAGTAAACAATAGACTTCAATAAGATGATAAAACGGGAAAAAAAACTAATATCCGTGGAACGAGCTTGGTGAGCTTTGTAATTTTTTGCACATTATTACCTTTCACTGTGAAGCTTTCCGCTACTACTGTCAGCTGAGACGCTCTGTCATCTTGTAACTCGGCTGATCCCTTCAGACTACCGGCGAGCTGCGACGGTTTCAAATGTAGTCCGCCAGGTGTCAGTGCAAGATCCATGTGCACGGCGACTGTTTCAAGACCAGGTTCACCAAGCTGACTAAATCATTTGAAAAGAAAAGAGAGTAATTAGTAACGCGTAGACAGCTAAGCTTTAATTAAAACATTAAAAATAATATAGTTTTATACACTAGAACACCAAACATCCACTATATAGTAAACTAAATATATTTTCAGTTTAATGACATTATATACACTTTCAAAGTCGCGCATCAGTTTAATGAGAGTAGGATGTAAACTAGTCATCAAGCGCCCTCTATCGACCATTTTCCGCCTCACCTGTCTGTGCTTGTAGCGAATGCAGCGATCTCGTCTGCGAATGACGTCATCAGAAGTATCTGTTTCATCTGTAACGCAATCCGTCTCTATCAGCATTCTTCTTTCTTCATTCCGATGTCTTACTTACTCAATTAAAACTCAGTAATTAACCGCTCTTTACATTCTCATAGATACCGATTCGCAGTAGAAGCGATATCAACTGCGTGCGTAAGCGGTTTCTCGGCGGATAGAGAATGAAACGTCAACGAATGCTGTAGTAATATGAAGGTCTTAAACTGATGTTTTTCCTCATTGTTGGATGTGACCGGTTAATCAGTAAGTGTATGGAGTCACGAAGCACCTTAAACATTAATGAAAATAGTAAAATCAATGCTAATTTTATATTAAATTATATATATTATATATATATATATATATTATATATATATATAATAATGTAGGCCTACGTGTTGTATAGAGCATGTGTAGCAGACAAGTGCTATACGGCACATAATTAACGTCGTATTCATAAACTCGCACCTGATTTCGGAGGAGAATCTCGAAGGCTTCCGCTGAGATGCTGCTGCTGCTGCTGTTGTTGTTGTTGTTGTTGTTATTGTTGTTGTTCATCTGGACCTTGTATTCAACGTGAAACAACATCATATCCACGTCTGTAACGGCCAATCATACATGCATATATATATATATATATATACAAATAAATAAATAACTAAAAATAAAATGAAAAATATATTATATATATATATATATAATTCAATATTACATTTGTATTAATTTTATTATTTTTCTTAATTTGTACTCTCATAATTTGTACTGCTTGCTAGATGATAATATAATACGCTTGTTAATAAGCTACGTACCCGTATACGTGATGGCCATCTCTAAGTGAGCGCCCTCTAGCGGAGCACTGCGCGTCGGGTTCGGTAGCAGACGGAATCGCCTCCTGGGCGAGCTTCACTCGTTGGCCTTCGACTCATGACGTCACGTCCGCTGTCCGTGCTTTCCGCTGCTGCTGCTGCTTTGCTGCTGCTGCTGCTAGCTGCTGCTGCTGCCCGCTTGCTCGTCGCTTTCTGCTGCTGCTGCTGGCTGCTGCCGATTGCCTGTTGTTTCTGCTGCTGCTTGCTGCTGCTTGTCGTTCTCTGCTGTCGTTTCTTGCTGCTGCTGCTACTGCACTGTCGTTTCTCGCTGCGCGTCTGACTGTCGCTTTCTGCTTGCTGCCTGCTGCCTGTGCTGATGCGCGGTCGTTTTTGCTGCTGCTGCTGGTGCTGCCTGCTGCTGCGGTGGTTGCTGTGCTCTGCTGCTGCTGCTGCTACTGATGTATGCTGCGGTGTTTCTTTCTCTGCCGTTGCTGTCGTTTCTGCTGTCGTTTCTGCTGCTGCTGCTGCTGCTGTCGTTTCTGCTGCTGCTGCTGCTGTCGTTTCTGCTGCTGCTGCGCTGCTGCCGCTGCTGTCCTTTTTGCTTGCTGCTGCTGCTTGATGTGATGCTGCGGTCGTTTCTGCTGTGCTGCTGCTGCTGCGCTGTCGTTTCTGCTGCTGCCTGCTGCCTGCTGCTGCTGGTGCTGCCTGACTGCTGACGCTGCGTGTTTCGCTGTGCTGCCTGCTGCTGTCGTTTCTGCTGCTGCTGCTGCGGTCGCTTTCTGCTGTGTGCTGCTGCTGCTGCTGTCGTTTCTGATGCTGCTGCTGCTGCTGCTCTGGCTGCTGACTGCTGCTGACGCTGCTGTCGTTTCTGCTGCTGCTGCTGGTGCTGTCGTTTCTGCTGCTGCTGCTACTGCTGCTGATGCTGATGCTGCGGTCGTTTCTGCTGCTGCTGCTGCTGCTGTTGCTGCTGCTACTGTGTCGTCTGTCGTGTGTGAACTATTGCTAGTTTGATCTGTGCTTGGTGACGATTGGGTGATCACTGTTCCGTCTGAAATATTCAGAACGGTCATGGTTACTTCTAAAAGGTTCCTTTCTGCCGTGGTAGCTGTGCTGTTTACTACATCATTACCCTCCAAAGTAGTTGCTTCTGTTGAGACGGCACTAATTAACACATCCGTCATTAGTTCTTGTGTAGTTTCTGTACTGTTCATGAAATCATTCTCCAACGTAGTTGTTTCTGCCATCGCTAGACTAGTCAATACATCAGTTGCTGTTTCTTTAGTGGATTCTGTGCTGTTAGCTAAATAATTATTCTCCAACGTAGTTGTTTCTG